CTGACTTGGCCAAATGAAATTGCAAAAGAAGGTGGCGTTGGTGAACTGTCTAGAGTGATATTGAATGCTGACCCTTCACTCCCTCATGCCTTGTGGGAGTCAGCTGCTGCAGTATTATCCAGCATTCTGCAATTTAGCTCTGAGTTTTATCTGGAAGTACCTGTTGCAGTGTTGGTAAGATTGCTTCGCTCTGGCTCTGAAGGCACAGTTCTTGGTGCATTGAATGCTCTCCTTGTGTTGGAGACTGATGACTCCACCAGCGCTGGAGCTATGGCTGAAAGTGGGGCGATCGAGGCTCTCTTGGAACTTCTCAGATGCCACCTTTGCGAGGAAACTGCTGCAAGACTCCTTGAGGTTTTGCTGAACAACGTGAAGATCAGAGAAACAAAAGCCACCAAGTCAGCAATTGTGCCCTTATCGCAGTATCTTTTGGATCCCCAGACTCAAGGTCAACAAGCAAGGTTACTGGCAACTCTTGCTCTTGGTGACCTATTCCAGAATGAGGCTCTTGCTCGAAGCAGTGATGCTGTTTCCGCTTGCCGGGCATTGGTGAATCTGCTTGAAGATCAGCCTACTGAAGAAATGAAAGTCGTCGCCATTTGTGCCTTACAGAACCTTGTCATGTATAGCAGATCAAATAAGAGAGCAGTGGCAGAAGCTGGTGGTGTCCAGGTTGTGTTGGATCTGATTGGTTCAAGTGATCCAGAGACATCAGTACAGGCGTCAATGTTCATTAAACTTCTCTTTTCCAATAATACCATTCAAGAGTATGCTTCAAGTGAAACTGTCAGGGCTATCACTGGTAAATTTCCTTTCCCTATACTCCATAGTGACAAACTTATCTGCTTTACGCTACAGAAGAAAAATGATATTTTGGTTATCTACATATTCTTTTTCATTCATTTATTGAGAATTAGTATCTCAAATAGAAATTTTCCTAATATGATGGTGGATTCCCCTTAGTGTTCTTGATCCAGGTTGATTAATGAAATGGTTTACTATTTGGATCCTGCTAGTATGAAGAAATGAAGGGATGGCGTGTTATCGCGTCCAATATTTTTTATAAACTTCAGTATTTTGTGCAAATTGAGTCATTTCTTGTTAGTGTTAATAGAAATCTAATTGATTTCTTGGCTTTGTAGCTGCAATTGAGAAAGATTTATGGGCAACGGGAACTGTAAATGAGGAGTACCTCAAGGCTCTGAATGCACTGTTTGGAAACTTTCCCCGTCTAAGGGCTACTGAACCTGCAACGCTGAGTATTCCACATCTAGTGACATCCCTGAAGACTGGTTCAGAGGCAACTCAAGAAGCTGCTTTGGATGCACTGTTTCTTCTCCGACAAGCTTGGTCAGCATGTCCTGCTGAAGTGTCTCGAGCACAATCAATCGCTGCTGCAGATGCCATTCCTTTGTTGCAGTATCTGATACAATCAGGTCCCCCTCGGTTCCAAGAGAAGGCAGAATTTCTATTGCAATGTTTGCCTGGGACTCTAGTGGTAATAATAAAGCGTGGCAACAACATGAGACAATCAGTTGGAAATCCAAGCGTTTTTTGCAAGCTTACCCTTGGAAATACTCCACCTCGCCAAACGAAGGTACAGTCAATTTTCGAATACTTTTGTGTTTCAAGTACACTTCCATTTCTCATTGCTACATGGGCTTTGAACCCTTTTTCCATGCACTGTTGGCCAAACTCTAATNGGGGGTTGTTGGTGGCGTTGTGTTTACCTTACCAAATTCAATTAATGTGGTTGGAAAATTGGGGGATGTTTGATTCAACTATGACTTGTAACAAGAATTGCACTTTTCCAACAACAAAATAATTAAGTTAGCTTCTTTCTGAAGTCTGAACCCCGCATATGGTTCATAATTCCTTGTTTTTCTCCTCTGTCAGGTTGTTTCAACTGGTCCTAATCCAGAGTTTGATGAGAGCTTTTCATGGTCCTTTGAAAGTCCTCCTAAAGGCCAGAAGCTCCATATTTCATGCAAGAATAAGAGCAAAATGGGAAAGGTAAGTGCATTTTATAATATTGATAGAGGATGCCAGCTGTTATTTTACGAGTAATGGGACACTTTTATTATAACATACTTCTCCATTTCTATCACTTCTGATCTTCTACTAAACTCGTTCCTATTTATTGACAGAGTTCATTCGGGAAGGTCACAATCCAGATTGACCGTGTTGTTATGCTGGGTGCAGTCGCTGGGGAGTACACTTTGTTGCCCGAGAGCAAAAGCGGACCCTCAAGGAATTTGGAAATAGAATTCCAATGGTCTAATAATCTTACTCAAAATGCAAATTAAGGTAGAGGAACAAATGTTTGGAATTTATTTCTGTTTTCTGTTTCTTTCTTTCTTTCTTTCTTCCTGTTTAATTATTAGGTGAATGTATATAGTGTCTGGTATAGGTTTTACAACTCTTGATCATATTTTAGTTTTGGAAAACGGCTATTTGTCAATGTATTCTTTTTGTAACTTGAGTCATTTTAGTATCTTTAAGGAAGGGACATGGATTCATGGTTTCCTTCCTTTGTATTTTTGTATTCATATTTGTTTGATGAAAGAAAACAATGTTTCATTTTCACTTATTGTGATATGAGAATTCTGTCTATTGCTTTAATTTTTTGAATGTCAATCAACCTTTTTCTTCCCTTAAGATACTTCCTCTAAATTGCTGTTTACCTTTCCTTATCCGAAGTTTATTTGACCAATATTAACATCTGAACAGTCTTTTTGACTCATTTTTCGATTAATGCCAAATTGTCAATACTGCCTTTATCTTTCTGTTTAAGTTTGATTAACTATGTTAGATTATATGTCTAACATTAACTCCTAAAACATGAAGAAATAAGGTCTAATTTGCTGATTTCCTTCAACGCAAATAATAAAGGATTTAGAAGCGTAAAGTAAATTAAAAGGAAATTTTTGAATTTTCCCTTATTTTCGTTAAAACAAAAAAGAAGAAGAAGATATTTGCCCTTTTCCCACTCTCAACTCCATAGAGATAATTTCTTCCCGCTATAACTTCATTGAGATCTCAAGAAGCAATATTCTGAATTTCTTAATTCCAAGTGCTTTATAAATATAAACCACGCCCTTCAAGTTCTCATGCATAGGTTTGTCATATACCCTTTTCAATAATCTCAAGAAAAGGCCTCATTCAAAGATTTTTCACTATCATCATGTCAAAGCTCTTAACCCGAGGAGTTGGTGGTAGAAGAGGGTGAAGTCAGAGGCGCTATCTATCAAGAACATGGTGAAAGACGATTGTGCTTCTAACACCATTCCTCTGCCTAATGTCAGTAGCAAAACAATGACTAAAGTGATTGAATACTGGAAGAAACACTTTGAATTGGAGGAGACCGACGAGTTGAAGACTTTTGACAAGAATTTCTTGAAGGTACATCTATCAGAGTTGTGTGATCTTATCATAGCTGCTAATTATCTTGATGATAAGGAGTTGTTGGATGCGTTGTTGATAGAACCAGAAGAAATATGTCAAGCATACAATATCAAATATGTCAAGAAGAGGAGCAATGAATGATTTTTTAACAATGTTCACCTAGCCTTTTTCTTTTCCAGCTCTCTCTTTTTTCTGGTTTGAGTTCCTTGGGGTTTATCTTTTTAGAATTTGTTGGTTTTGATTGATCTATAAAATTAAATTTTAATGATAAAACTTATCCAGTATAAGTTCCTTTATTATGTCATTGGAGCCTCATTATAAGTTTGACTGCTGCTAATTGAAATTAAAAATCTTAAGATAATCAGCTTCTTATTGCTGTTACAGCTTTAAGGATAATTAAGTAATTTTAATAGAAAAAAGTAATTATCATCACTTTTTACTAAGCCCTTCAGCTGCTTATTACTACTCCCTCCGTCTCAAATTATCTGTCATGAACAACAACCAAATCCAGCACAAGACAGGTTGTACAAGTATCTCTTAGAAGGTCCACACAAGAACATCATGTACCAACTAGATTAAATTTAATGGTACAAGATGATGTATCGAATGAGGTTGATCATAATGATGATGACCCTAAGACCTATGAAGAGGCTATACAAAGTTATAATTATGGGAAGTGGCAAGAGGCCATGGAATCCGAAATGGAATCCATGAAGGAAAATAAAGTATGGACTTTAGTTGAACCTTCAAAGGATATAAAACCTATAGGTTGTAAATGAGTTTTTAAGAAAAAGATTGGAGCAGACGGAAAGGTGGAGACCTACAAAGCCCGTCTTGTTGCTAAGGGATATCGTCAGAAAGAAGGAGTCGACTATGACGAGACTTTGTCTCCCGTGGCAATGCTCAAATCAATTCGGATTTTGCTTGCTATAACAGCATACTATGATTATGAAATATGACAAATGGATGTGAAAACAGCTTTCCTTAATGGTGAGCTAGAAGAGGATGTGTACATGACACAACATGAAGGTTTCACATCTTCGTCTGATCATAATAAAATTTGCAAGCTACAAAGATCCATTTATGGACTAAAGCAAGCTTCTCGAAGTTGGAATATTTGCTTTAACAAGACAATTGAAAAGTTCAATTTTGTTAGATGCGAAGAAGAACCTTGTGTGTACAAAAAGGTTAGTGGGAGCACAATTATATTCTTAGTGTTGTATGTTGACGATATATTGCTCATAGGGAATGACATACCGGCATTGTAAAGTAACAAGATTTGGCTATCTGAACAGTTCTCCATGAAAGACTTGGGAGAAACAGCTTATATATTAGGAATAAAAATCTATAGAGATAGATCTAGGAAGCTGCTTGGACTTTCCCAGTTTTTGTACATTGATACTATCTTAAAGAGGTATAATATGGATAATTCCAAAAGAGGCTATCTACCGATAGGCACTGGAATTACTCTCAGTAGGAAAGATTGTCCTAAAACACCTGAAGAGAGAGAACACATGAGTAGGATCCCATACGCTAGTACAGTGAGAGCTATCATATATATTTTGACATGTACATGTCCTGATATGGCTTATGCACTTGGAGTGACTAGCCGATATCATGCAAATCTTGGTGAGGAACATTGGAAGGTAGTGAAGACCATTCTTAAGTACTTAAGAAGGACTAAAGACCAATTCCTCATTTATGGATATTCTGAGTTGAAACTTGAAGGTAAAGTGATGCAAGTTTCCCTTCAGATAAAGATGATAGCAAATCTATTTCTGGCTATGTATTTACCTTAAATGGTGGTGCAGTGAGTTGGAAAAGTTCCAAACAAGCTACAGTAGTTGATTCAGTGACTGAAGCAGAATATATAGTAGCTAGTGAAGCTGCTAAGAAAGCTGTATGGATAAAAAAGTTCTTAACTGAACTTGGTGTGGTTCCTTCAATAGAAGGTACAATTCCATTGTTGTGTGACAACACTGGAACCATTGCTCAAGCAAAAGAACCAAGATCACACCAAAAATTCAAACACGTTATGCGAATGTATAACTTGATAAGAGAGATCACTAAACGTGGAGACGTCTAGATTCAAAAGGTTTATGGAAAGAAAAATGCTCTAGACCCATTAACTAAAGCTCTTGGTGCAAAAGAGTTTGACAAGCGCAAGTAGAAATTGGGAATGAAGTACAAGAGCGATTGATTCTAGTGCAAGTGGGAGATTGTTAGGAATATAATAGATATGCCCTAGATCCAATCTCATATTTGATGATTTGAACATATTTTTGTGAACATTATTTGATATAAAAATGTATGGCATTCTTTTATCATAGTTATTATTAATTGTTTGATTAATTTGATAAGATCCTTGATTAAATTTTGAGATTTGTCATCGTGATAAAGATCATGATAATGAGAGCAAAGTCTCCTATAATTTAATCTAAATTTGTTCTTGATCGTAGGATTATTAATTTGTACATTAGTAATTCGGTTAGATCAATATTTATGTGATCGTCTTTGTTGGATAAAGATTAGTTGATCTCATTAACTAAATCACATAGATAGATGATGCATATAGAGATATGATCATTGAACCGACTCATTGGATAATTCCTAATGGTTAGAATTACCATAACTGTCAATAGGATATTCTCTTGAAGAATGTGATGTAAAAATTTCCTTTGACATGAGATCGTCATAATAATTGACAAGTTATTTATTGTGCTTTGATACCATACACCTATGGCCCTAGGGCGATAGTTGAAAGGATATTGGGTATGATTAAATGCTTGTAGAATTAGTGATTGATCAAGATGGAATCTGTCAACTCTTGGTAATGAGTTTAAGCTCCATGTTGTCATGAATTATAAACGACCAAACTAAGACCTTGGCCAGGGCAATTGAATGAAAGAAGAAAAGAGTTTCTTAGGTCATTCAATGGTCGATTATATTTGACATGAACACATAGTTGGTTGCCTATTAGGATTTGACAGTTGAACCATATCCTAGGGTGATCCAGAGCTATAAGGACAGAAGGAATTACTACATTATTCTTCTACTGGTTCTTGAGAGTAAATTGTATACTTCATGCTATCCGGTCGTTAAGGAGTGTTGCTAGATGCCACCCTTGATTAGTATATTAATGTGATCAATTTACTACCGGTTTAGTATTGAACCTATAGGATCGCACACTAACGAGTGTTCTGATCTTTGCTAAAGGATTAATTATTTTATTATTTGGTAATTAAATTAAAGAATTTAATTAGTCAAATAAATTTAAATTATTAATCCAAATGAAATATTATTATATCCTTTGCTAGCATAGATGATATAATTAATATTGTGAACAAATTGAAGTTTTTTATTTGAAATAGAAAATTAAATTATATCTCTTGGTTGGAATATATATACATATATATATATATATATATATATATATGTGATATATTAATATTTATTTATATAAGAGTATATATATAATATTAATATAAAAGGTTTATAAGTTAGAATCCAAATTTGCATTGGATAACTAACATGTAAAGTCCACAAAGGGACTTGTCGGCATTTTCATCCCAATTGGAGTGGGATTGATATTTTCAATAGGGAAATATTATATTAATATGAAAAGTTCATAAATAAGAGAATCCAACTTTGAGTTGGAGGAATACGCGTTGGACTCGGCAGTCACGTTTACATTAGTAACGTGATTTTCTAATTTTTCATAAAAAAATTCTATGAAGTTTATTTTGGAATAAATTTTTATCCTAAGTAAATTATTACCTCAACCAAATAAGAAAAGGGTTTATATGTGATGTTATATAAAGGGTGATGGAGAAAATTTGCTGTACTCAATTCTGGGGCATTTGCATCTATACCCGCTTTTTGTGTCACATTTTAATTTGTGCTCGCTTTGCAAAAAAAATTGCAAGCGTACCCGCCTTTTAGCATAATTTCAGCACACGGGGCTGAAGTAGCAAAGACAATCACGCAAAACTTCAGCATTCTAGTAGCCGAGCCTGAAGTTCAGCTCTAGAGCTGAAGTTTTTGTTTTGTAACGGGCGAACAACTCTAGAGCTGAAGTTTTTGTTTTGTAACGGGCGAACTTCAGCTCTAGTGTTGTAACTGGGAAACTTCAGCTCTAGAGATGAAGTTTTTGTTAATTTGCTGTATTTGTCAATTATAATTTTCTAGCTGTATTTTTGCTGTTTTGCCTTAGTTGTAGCTAGTGGCTGTTAGCTGAAGTGGACTAGAATGAGCAAGTTATATTTTTAAGAAAGCCACAAGATGCTCGATATATATCCTCTGAGACAAAAGAAGGAATAACGGTGCCCAAACAAACAAAAATAAGTAGAGAGGCGTATGAATATATACTGCACAAAAATCATACCAAGAAATATATATATTTCCAAAGGGCACACAAACAATTGGCCTTACAAAAACACTTTCCAACAGTGAGCAATCCAAAACAAACTCAACTGGTACCTTAAACTTTTTCCTAAGACTAATTTGCTATAAATTTGGAGCAGAAGTACAACTGCCGAACTGTTCAATTAAAAAAAATTGACCTTATAACTAAAGCAGCGTTGCTTCTGGAGATAAATACCAATTTGTTTTGTAACTTGAAGAAGAAAATAAAGGAGGAGAAGGATGTGGAGAAAGAGGGCTGAAGTTATTTAAAAAGTGGGTACAAGTTAAAAGTTTAAAAAAAATGGGTATAGGTTAATGGGGGCGACCAAATAGGGCGTCTCGTGCAATTTTTACCTCAATTCTTGAGAAGAAAACCCACTTTGTGAAAGTGAGACTGCAGTACAAAGCCAAGAGAGAAAATACATTACAAGAAAAGAGTTTCTTGTTCTTCTAATTTGAGTTGAGATTTTTTGAGAAAAATTTCAGCACAAGGTTTTCAATCAACTTGTTCGTGTGTTTCATTGATCAAAGAGTTGATATTAAGGATCAGTCTCGGTGTGGATACGCATAGAGTCTTCACACTATTGAAGAATTTTAAACGAGACTTTCTTCACCAGGTACGTCTTAGATCCGATCTTTGACATATAAATAAATTTTAAACATGAAAAGATCTGTCTAAAATTGTTATTGTCTTCCGCTACATGTTACGTACATCTATACGCAATCCTTCAGTGTGA